AAAATCTTAATTATTGACCATGGTGAGCCCGAAACAAGTTGGAATAAAAACGGTTTATTTACGTCTCAGGCTCCCCCATAAGGGATAAAGACTAGGTGATTAACCAAGGCTCCCAGAGGCTGTTCATGGCTGACACAAAGACCGCCTTTCATCCTTTCAGCACGGCTCTCACGCCGTAAGAAGTGGACACAAGGAGTTGAAGAAGAGAAGGAAAAGGATTGGGGGAGAAGAAAAGACCATGCAAAATTATTTGAGGGATCGTGCCCAACCTGGTCCTGACCGTTCAACTTATACTCAGTCACGCATGTGTGACAATTGTGGTGGCTCCCAAAATGTATTTTATAGATGTCCTGCCTACAAGCTCAAATTTGAGGTAGTAGTTTTTAAATTCCCGGTAGGCCACACTCTATGTAAGGCCAGCCACAGGAAGTACCCTAACGAGGTTTTTCTCTCTCTACTTATTCCAAAACTGTCCTTCGCTCTGCTCCCCTCCCATCTTTAAGATGTCTCAGCATTTATTCCTCTACCCCAAACCATAATACCTCTACATTTTCTCTCCCCCAGACAAATGCCTTTTCCAGTCTAAATCCAGATACTCCGATGCTTATCCCTCCTCCTCACTTTAATTGTCGCACCAGGCAGTCTAAACTTCCCACGCCATCTCCTACCACATCCTTCCCTACTTTAGTTTCTGAGACCTCCCCACCCGACTTCCCACCAGGAACTTTTGAAAACATCCAAAACTTCCCAAAAGAACACGCCCTCCATCTACTCTCCTATCCTTCTATTCCTCTACATTCAGATATTTGCCGATATCCATCTTCCTCTTTAAGTTACCCCTACCCCTCTTCCTCCCACTCTCTCCTAAAACACCCCATCCTCCCTTCCACATGCATCACCATTCCCTCTTCTTTCCCCATTATCCTCACCACTCCCACGTGGATGCTTACGTGACTCCCTTATGTCGCAACAGTGTCCACTTCCCACCGGACATTCTTCCAGATGCTTCACTACCTTCCCCTGTTCCCTTATCTCATTCTCTGGATTCTTCTCCCACTTCTCCAACTAACATTTCTACCCATATTACCAGTTGATTGTTTCATAATAGCTCCTTTGCAATTTTCCTCAGTGTTACCGTTCCTTCCTCTGGCACAGGTACTCTCTATTTGATCTAATACTCTTATTCCCTTAAACCCGTCCCCCTTTTACAAATCCCCGCTTTACCCTTTTCATTCCCATACTATTCTATAGCAATCTACAAGCCTTGACATCTAACACATTTTATCCTAATCGTTAACTCAGTTTTGCCCTCTTTGCCACAATATATTACCATAGTGCTATATGACCTTTGATATCATTCCTAGTGCCTATCCCTCCTCCTCCTCGCTCTGCTCATTGCATCAGATAATCGAACCGGTCCAACCCGTCATCTTTACCGCATCCTTTCTTACCCTTGATCTTCACCTGATAAGAAAACCTTCATTTCTCAGACCTCCCCAACCAACTCCATTTCAGAAAATCTCGGGCGTTCAAAACTACCTAATCATGACCGAAGTTATCATGCGCCCCCCCCGTCAAAGGTCATATGGCGCTATGGTAAAGTATAGTAACGAACAGGGTTAGGAATGAGTTGATGATCTGGGCAAAGTTACAGGTTGAAAAGTACGAGGGTAGTATGGTAGTGAACAAGATAGACAGGGGGAACTGATGGGGTATAGTTTAAGGTAAAAGTTGTTAGAAGGGAATGGAGTTAGGGAGTAAGGAGCATTATGATAAAGTATTGTGGCGAAAACGGCAAAAATTAATTACCGATTATGATAAGTGGACAGAACAAGGTGGTGAAGAATGGAAAAGGAAAGAAGAAAAGGCCATACAATATTTGTTGAAACGAGAACGGAGGTCCAAGGCAGGAGTGATCCCCTACATTGGGCCCCTCTCCTAAGTCCCCAATACGACAAAAACGAACAAAGGAATTGGGGGGGGGGGGGTATTTTTTGCTGAAAAATATCTTCCGCGTCAACATCTAAGCTAATTGGAGGCGTATTCATAATATAGTGAAAGCGTGAGGCTTGCCAGGTAAGGAAGTGCTATGTGGAATCAAAGGTCATATGGCGCAATGGTAAAGTAGATTAGTGAAAAGGGCTAAGAATGAGTTAATGATTACAGTAAAGTTACAGGTTTAACATTACCAGAGAGTATAATGGTAGTGAAAAGGGTAGAGGTAGGAAGCTGATAGGGCATGGTAAAGTAAAGGTTGATGGAAGGGGTCGGAGGTAAGGGAGTAGGGAGCATTATGATAAAAGTATTAAGGCGAAAACGGCAAAAGTCTAACGATCAGGATAAGTGGACAGAACAAAATATGAGAGGAGAAAGGAGAGAGAAAAAAAAAAACATGTAAAGTTAGTTGAAGCGAGGGCTGAGGACCAAGGTATGGGTGATCCCCCACATTGGGCCCCAGTCCCCCCACGGCAAAAACGAACAAGGGATTGGGGGGGGGGGGTATTTAATAGTTCACTTACACAAATGCAAAATTGCTTAAAATGCATCTTTTACAAACATCTGATGGTCATCCGTTCTGGCTCGTACCTGTTTTTGACTGACCCAGACACTGTGGACAAGGCAATTCCGCCCATATGCGTAGCCGTTCGATCGTGAATGTGCCTTTAGATTTAATAAAGTGGACAGCTGCATGCTCAGTGTCTATGTAATGATAATCTATTGTATCTATGAGCGAAAGGTGGCCCAACTACTATGTATACAGTAACCTAATCATGATATATCAATTGATGAGTCAACTTAACTTATAACTTGCTGGCTTTTTATATTTAGTTGTTAGCGTTATTGTGCAGGGAATCTGCGGGGTCACGCACTACCACCTGCTGAAAAACCGCACTTATTTCTTCACTACCCATGGCTGAGCTGGTGAACGTGTAGATCGACTGGTGTCCCGAATGGTTTAATGGTTAAAAGCAAAATAAATGTGCTAGACATCCAAGGTCATGTAGCACTATAGTAAATGTCAGTGGAGGATGGTTGAGTTAGTGGTTAGTTGCTAAAGCTGGGCAAAGGAGTTAACGAGTGAATGGGTTGAGGTCGGAGAAGGTAAATGGGTTAATGGTTAAGGATGTACGCGCGTCTGAGGAAGGAAATCAGGTTGTCAAAACAAAGTGTGAGAATCTGTAAAGATGTCTGATAAGGTTGAGAGGCCGGTGAAGGGAGGATAGGTGGGGAAAGCAGAGGTGTCCCGAAGCCACCGATTGATTTTAATCGATATTATTGGTTCACTTTGCGGGGAGGGTAGCGGATAAGCTTGGAGGGAACCCGCTACCTGGTAAAAGACAACACTTGTTCCTGCCTCCATCCCATTTGGCTGGGGTAAACAATGCCAGCCACTTACTGTTCCATTTCGATTATATTACAGTTACACTCCATGGGCTTCTTCATGTGTAAGAAAAGCTTGAGAAAGTTTAAAATAAGATAATTTTTTTAGCTAGTGTATCGTTAATATGATACAACTACGAAAACGGTGGAAAAGTACCGATATTGGTATCCCTGCTATTCCACCCTCAAGGTCTGGCTCACCCAAGGGTCAGACTAACCTTTTTACAAATACGTATATAGATCCAGTTATACCTTGAATATGACCTGGAATAACTTTTTGTTCACTTCGCTCGGCTACAAAAAAAAAAAAAAAAAATAGTTTTGAAATATATATTATTGATATTTCGCGTTACCACCACCAACCTGGCGAACGGTGGCAAGTCTACGTGGTATAAATGCCACAAATTCCGCAGTTAACCGACGTCCGTCTGCAGAACGCAATCGCTCCCATACCGTAATTGCTTGGGCAATGACGATATGGCGATTGCAGGTATGATTTTGGGGGAAGGCTCTGCCCAAACATTCTCAGTGGGCTCGAGATCTGGCGATTTGGGTGGATATCGGGGTGTTGCCGAAACCACGAGACTGCTCGTGTGGATGGGACGGTTATCCTGGACAAGCTAAAATAGCTCCGGTTCGGAGCCCTTATCGACGAGAGAAAACTCTCGTCCAAGATTCCACGTAGGCATACCTCAAATCTGCCATACATGTCGGATATGTCCGACATACGCCAACTCCCCAACCCCGATCTGTGCATTCACTCGGAACAGCCCTGCGATTTCTAACAGTTCGTATTGCAAAGTCCCACCGGATGTTGCCAGCAGAACCAAATGGGTCCCCATTGGAGGTTATTAAAAAAAAAACTTGTAAAGGGTGTTGCCACCGAGTATCAAATGGTTTTCATTAACTCAATCGTCATGCACTTCAGTGCAATCTTCCTATAGGTCTATCATATAATTGATTGATTTATAGTTTTGAATGATATTGATATTCCTCCGTCGTGCATCTAGGGCGCCCACATCTGGACTTTTTTCTGCTGGATCCACACACACTCGGTCGGCTTCAAAACACAATCTTGATATTTCGGCTCTTGATAATTCCTCAGCGTAAAGCGTAATTATGACGTTACAGATGGTCTATGAGGTATCCATGGCTGATAAAGGTATAATACAGGACCCTTGCCACATCAGCTCCGAAACACTATTCGGACTCATTGTGAAGCTTCAACTTTGAAAACCACAATCTTTCTGAATTAAATACTCATGTACACCCGCTAAAAAATCTTTACTTGGGAGTAGAAGTGTATAAATAAAAATCTTGATAATTTAAGGTGATCCTAAAACTTTGTTCATCACTACCTGCACAAGTATGGTATTTGGGAAAAGTGTCTTAGAACTGAAAGTATTTTTTTTATTTCAGTTTGGTAAATTCATTAAAAGTATGATACTTTAAACATCTGAGGCGGTGGCAGATTCCCTTTTAACTGAAGCATTTGCCATTATTCAAATTATCTAACAATGTAAGAGGGAGAAAGAAAAAAAAAAAACAGCCTTGTAACACCAAGTATTGGCAATATTTGTTTGATCCCTTAATAGATGGATAAAGCAACAAAGACAATATAGGTTTGCATATTTTATTAATCATAAGCTACATCATATAAGGCATTCTATCAATTTCACAATAGCAAGTTCAAAATGCAGCATTCTGGGGAAATGTACTGTTTTTGGCTAGTTTTATTAACTAACTACTGAACCTAAAATATAATACCAAATAATGAGATTCAGATATTCATAAATCACTTCAACTTATACTTCCACTCATCTTATCGACTTCTACATATAAAACAATTTAGGTGGAGGCTGATGCTATGCCTATATATATAAATGCTAGTTCCTCCACAAGATGATAATTTTAGTTAACAATACGGGGGACACTAGTCAATACTGTTCGTAGTTAGCAACACTTAGCTAGCAGCCCTGCTTGGTAGTCGTCTGGCATGATGGGCTTGAACCGGCAGGGTGGCTGCAAAGCTAATTTGGCTGCATGCCACACATACACCCACATGGTTGTATTTTATAATATCCATATCATGAAAGAGCACTAATCTGTTACTGTAATAATAAATAATTTTGGAAAATGAATACAAAATCACTGAAGTCACTAAAACTTTCCCCTAATAAAGCTGATTATAACATTACATACTTACATTCCACTTACTTCTGGACACATACCAATCTTTAAGGGGAAAAGAAAGACTTCATTAGATAAAGACGCACAAAAAGAAAATCTATATATAAAGTGATATTTCAGATACTCGATATAATCAAAGGACAACAGCCACTGGTAGCACACACACACACTGTGAAGAACTCACAGTAAGTTAGCGACCACCAAGAGATGTTGCCCATCAGATGACACGCATGAGTAAAGTACATCATTCAATTTAGTTATGACTACAGCCACATTCTAGGAGACATAACCTCACACCATTACAGTCACCATATGCTAAATTCCTTTTCCTAAGCAAAAAAGATTAAAATACTTTTTATTTCTAACTTAGTTGTACACACAAACAGCAAGGATACTAAAACAATCACAATTAAGAGAGGATGTGGCTTTTTGGCAAATCTGGCATTCAGTGACAGTGGTGTGAAACTGGGTTTTCAATACATGAATAAAGCTGTACGATTCATTTTCCATACATTCTAAAGTCAAGAAGTAATAAAAAACCTTGAATAAGATGTTGGGGGAAAAAAAAAAGGAAAAAACACCAGCACCCTCCTGATCATACTCGTCACCAAGCAACTGAAATTTCAATTAAACTATTTTCACAAGGCAACTGACTGCCATTCTCCATTGATCTGGACTTGCTATCAATTTGCATTATATATTATATGCTTTGCTTTATTAAATCTAAAAATTTCTCCAGAATAAAATAAAGCTGTCAACTTCAGACACTTTATAAATTCTTATCAATTACTTGTTAATCTGGAAAGGTATTACACTTAAATATTTTTGAATAGTCTCCCAAAATTTTTATTTATTACAACCATCAACTGGACTGCATTTCAAAGTCAATTAGATTCCTTAACCCATTATTTTACTTGTTTGGCTAAAATCTGCACTTTCAAAATTTGAAACAAAAGTCATTTAACAAATCTTAAATTCATCCTATCTTTCATTTTCACTTTCATGGGGGGGGGGGGGGGGGGGGGGAGAAAAAAAAAAAAAAAAATAGGTTTGAAATATATATTATTAATATTTCGCGTTACCACCACCAACGTGGCGAACGGTGGCAAGTCTACGTGGTATAGATGCCACAAATTCCGCAGTTAACCGACGTCCGTCTGCAGAACGCAATCGCTCCCATACCGTAATTGCTTGGGTAATGACGATATGGCGATTGCAGGTATGATTTTGGGGGAAGGCTCTGCCCAAACATTTTCAATGGGATCGAGATCTGGCGATTTGGGTGGATATCGGGGTGTTGCCGAAACCACGACACTGCTCGTGTGGATGGGACGGTTATCCTGGACAAGCTAAAATAACTCCGGTCCGGAGCCCTTATCGACGAAAGAAACCTCTCGTCCAGGATTTCCACGTAGGCATACCTCAAATCTGCAATGTCCGACATACGCCAACTCCCCAACCCCGCTCTGTGCATTCACTCGGAACAGTCCTGCGATTTCTAACAGTTCGTATTGCAAAGTCCCACCGGATGTTGCCAGCAGAACCAAATGGGTCCCCATTGGGGGTTATTAAAAAAAGTAAATAAATAAAAAAAAACTAATGACTGAGTAAGTGGAAGTAGCATCAAACTACTAACAAACATGCTCTTCTCAAATCCAGTCACTTGTAAGGGGTGTTGCCATCGAGTATCAAATGGTTTTCATTAACTCAATCTTTATGCACTTCAGTGCAATCTTCCTATAGGTCTTTTATATAATTGATTGATTTATAGTTTTGAATGATATTGATATTCCTCCGTCGTGCATCTAGGGCGCCCACATCTGGGCTTTTCTATGGTGGATTCAGTTGCTTGGTGTCGCTGGATCCACAGACACTCGGTTGGCTTCAAAACACAATCTTGATATTTCGGCTCTTGATAATTCCTCAGCGTAAAGCGTAATTATGACGTTACAGATGGTCTATGAGGTATCCATGGCTGATAAAGGTATAATACAGGACCCTTGCCACATCAGCTCCGAAACACTATTCGGACTCATTGTGAAGCTTCATCTGTTCCGAACTTTGAAAACCACAGTCTTTCTGAATGAAATACTCCTGTACACCCGCTAAAAAATTCTTTACTTGGGAGTAGAAGTGTATAAATAAAAATCTTGATAATCTAAGGTGATCCTAAAACTTTGTTCATCACTACCTGCACAAGTATGGTGTCTGGGAAAAGTGTCTTAGAACTGAAATTATTTTTTTTATTTTCAGTTTGGTAAATTCATTAAAAGTATGATACTTTAAACATCTGAGGCGGTGGCAGATTCCCTTTTAACTGAAGCATTTGCCATTATTCAAATTATCTAACAATGTAAGAGAGGGAGAAAGAAAGAAAGAAAGAAAAAAAAAAAAAACAGCATTGTAACACCAAGTATTGGCAATATTTGTTTGACCCCTTCATAGATGGATAAAGCCAAAGACAATATAGGTTTGCATATTTTATTAATCATAAGCTACATCATATAAGGCATTCTATCAATTTCACAATAGCAAGTTCAAAATGCAGCATTTTGGGGAAATGTACTGTTTTTGGTTAGTTTATTAACTAACTACTGAACCTTAAATATAATAAGGAGATTCAGATATTCATAAATCACTTCAACTTATACTTCCACTCATCCTATCGACTTCTACATATAAAACAATTTAGGTGGAGGCTGATGCTATGCCTATATATATATATATAAACAATGCTAGTTCCTCCCCAAAATTATCATTTTAGTTAACAATATGGGGGACACTAGTCAATACTGTTCGTAGTTAGCAACACTTAGCCTCCAGCCCTGCTTGGTATTCGTCTGGCATGATGGGCTTGAGCCGGCAGGGTGGCTGCAAAGCTAATTTGGCTGCATGCCATACATACACCCACATGGTTGTATTTTATAATATTCATATCATGAAAGAGCACTAATCTGTTACTGTAATAAATAATTTTGGAAAATGAATACAAAAGCACTGAAGTCACTAAAACTTTCCCCCAATAAAGCCGATTCTAACATTACATACTTACATTCCACTTACTTTTGGACACATACCAATCTTTAAGGGGAAAAGAAAAACTTAATTAGATAAAGACGCACAAAAAGAAAATCTATATATAAAGTGATATTTCAGATACTCGATATAATCAAAGGACAACAGCCACTGGAAGCACACACACACAAACTGTGAAGAACTCACAGTAAGTTAGCGACCACCAAGAGATGTTGCCCATCAGATGACACGCATGAGTAAAGTACATCATTCAATTTAGTTATGACTACAACCACATTCTAGGAGACATAACCTCACACCATTACAGTCACTTTCTGGCAAATCTGGCATTCAGTGACAGTGGTGTGAAAGTGGGTTTTCAATATATGAATAAAGCTGTACGATTCATTTTCCATACATTTTCTAAAGTCAAGAAGTAATATAAAACCTTGAATAAGATGTTGGGGGAAAAAAAAAAAGAAGGAAAAAACACCACCACCCTCCTGATCATACTCGTCACCAAGCAACTGAAATTTCAATTAAACTATCTTTACAAGGCAACTGACTGCCATTCTCCATTGATCCGGACTTGCTATCAATTTGCATTATATATTATATGCTTTGCTTTATTAAATCTAAAAATTTATGCAGAATAAAATAAAGCTGTCAACTTCAGACACTTTATAAATTCTTATCAATTACTTGTTAATCTGGAAAGGTATTACAGTTAAATATTTTTGAATAGTCTCCCAAATTTTTTATTTATTACAACCATCAACTGGACTGCATTTCTAAGTCAATTAGATTCCTTAACCCATTATTTTACTTGTTTGGCTAAAATCTGCACTTTCAAAATTTGAAACAAAAGTCATTTAACAAATCTTAAATTCATCCTATCTTTCACTTTCACTTTCACTTTCATGGGGGGGGGGGAAAGAAAAGACAAAGAAAAAAATCAGCTAGCCTAGAAAAGCCTTTCTATGTACTTTACAAGGTTTGCAGCAGGAGCAGCAAAAGAATCACTTATGCAAATTAAAAACAAAATGGCTAAGCTCTTAAGTACCTAATCTGTCCCGATTGCATAGGAGACCAGTAACATTTTCAATTGTTAATCAATATCATAATTTCATGTACATCACAAAATTTGACACATACCTTAAAATACTCAGGACTGCAATAAACACCGAAGAGAATACATCCATTTTCTGTAAAAATCAAAACATTATATATTCTCTCCAAATTTTTTTTTTTATCCCCTCTGGATATGTCATGTATCAGCAGGTAATTAGCTTCATGTATCGATCAGCCGGCATTTCCTATCAATTAAGGATCATCACTTTACAAAATTGTAGATACAAGTCTTATCAGATATAAATCCTACCTTTTTATAGATGGTCTGCTTCTCCAGAACTGATCTTAAATTTCCAAGTTCATGGAAGACACACCATCTTCTGAAAAACATAATTAACCAAGTTAATTTCCCAACTCACTTTCTCACAATAAGAAATATAATCAAAAGTATCAGTAGGCAATTAGCTTCAAGTGTCGATCAGCCGGCATTTCCTATCAGTTTTGGATCATCACATTCAATATAAAAACTTGTAGAATTATGTATAAATTTTACCATTTCACAAAGTTGCTTTCTCTGACTGGTTCTTCATTCTTCTAATCCATATTCATTTAGGGATCTGTAAAGAGAAATACAGCATTTTTCTTTTTTCTTCGTTATGGAGGGAGAAGATTTTACGTAGAAACAATCAGTGGCATTCTAGCTTCACATATCGGTCAGCCGGCATTTCCTATCAATTAAGGATCATCACTTTACAAAATTGTAGATACAAGTCTTATCAGATATAAATCCTACCTTGTTATACATGGTCTGCTTCTCCAGAACTGATCTTAAATTTCCAAGTTCATGGAAGACACACCATCTTCTGAAAAACATAATTAACCAAGTTAATTTCCCAACTCACTTTCTCACAATAAGAAATATAATCAAAAGTATCAGCAGGTAATTAGCTTCATGTATCGATCAGCCGGCATTTCCTATCAATTAAGGATCATCACTTTACAAAATTGTAGATACAAGTCTTATCAGATATAAATCCTACCTTGTTATACATGGTCTGCTTCTCCAGAACTGATCTTAAATTTCCAAGTTCATGGAAGACACACCATCTTCTGAAAAACATAATTAACCAAGTTAATTTCCCAACTCACTTTCTCACAATAAGAAATATAATCAAAAGTATCAGTAGGCAATTAGCTTCAAGTGTCGATCAGCCGGCATTTCCTATCAATTAAGGATCATCACTTTACAAAATTGTAGATACAAGTCTTATCAGATATAAATCCTACCTTGTTATACATGGTCTGCTTCTCCAGAACTGATCTTAAATTTCCAAGTTCATGGAAGACACACCATCTTCTGAAAAACATAATTAACCAAGTTAATTTCCCAACTCACTTTCTCACAATAAGAAATATAATCAAAAGTATCAGTAGGCAATTAGCTTCAAGTGTCGATCAGCCGGCATTTCCTATCAATTAAGGATCATCACTTTACAAAATTGTAGATACAAGTCTTATCAGATATAAATCCTACCTTGTTATACATGGTCTGCTTCTCCAGAACTGATCTTAAATTTCCAAGTTCATGGAAGACACACCATCTTCTGAAAAACATAATTAACCAAGTTAATTTCCCAACTCACTTTCTCACAATAAGAAATATAATCAAAAGTATCAGTAGGCAATTAGTTTCAAGTGTCGATCAGCCGGCATTTCCTATCAGTTTTGGATCATCACATTCAATATAAAAACTTGTAGAATTAAGTATAAATTTTACCATTTCACAAAGTTGCTTTCTCTGACTGGTTCTTAATTCTTCTAATCCATATTCATTTAGGGATCTGTAAAGAGAAATACAACATTTTTCTTTTTTCTTCGTCATAGAGGGAGAAGATTTTTTGTATAAACAATCAGTGGCATTCTAGCTTCACATATCGGTCAGCCGGCATTTCCTATCAAATTTGGTTCATCACATTCAATATAAAAACTTGTAGAATTAAGTATAAATTTTACCATTTCACAAAGTTGCTTTCTCTGACTGGTTCTTAATTCTTCTAATCCATATTCATTTAGGGATCTGTAAAGAGAAATACAACATTTTTCTTTTTTCTTCGTCATAGAGGGAGAAGATTTTTTGTATAAACAATCAGTGGCATTCTAGCTTCACATATCGGTCAGCCGGCATTTCCTATCAGTTTTGGATCATCACATTCAATATAAAAACTTGTAGAATTAAGTATAAATTTTACCATTTCACAAAGTTGCTTTCTCTGACTGGTTCTTAATTCTTCTAATCCATATTCATTTAGGGATCTGTAAAGAGAAATACAACATTTTTCTTTTTTCTTCGTCATAGAGGGAGAAGATTTTTTGTATAAACAATCAGTGGCATTCTAGCTTCACATGTCGATCAGCCGGCATTTCCTATCAGTTAAGGATCATCACATTTAAAATATATAGTCTTTTACAATCAATATATAAGCCTTACCATTTTATATAAGGTTGGATCTCTGCCACAGGATCTTCATACTTGTAATGCTTAATCATTCAAGGATCTGAAAATAGAAAATATATTCTTTATTTTTCCCCCCCTTTGTTTGAGGGATAGGATTTTTTAATATAAATAATCAGTGACATTTTAGCTTCAAATATCGGTCAGCCGGCATTTCCTATCAAATTTGGTTCATCATAATCTTACTATCTGTACAAGGTGATGGCCAGTCCTACCTTCATAGCATAAATATATTAGTAATGCACAAAAAAATTTAATGTGCTGTGTAGTTTTGACAGAAATTACCCTGAAGTGCAGCCAGCCAAGGTACCAAATTAGTCCCACAAAAATGCAGGTAGGCTGGTCTTATGCAGGATTGGCTAGTTTTCTCAGACCTACTTAATCATTCAGACATTTTGATTATCAACTGACGATAGAAATGGAGTACAAGAGGCTGAGGCATAGCAGAGCAAGTTCAGAATGGTATCCTATCTTCAGTCAATATTTATTAACCCCCGTGGTGCCGGGTGACGCCGATCAGCGTGTAAACAAAGAGCTCGAAAGCTGGCGTGCAGCCAAACGAGCCGGCGGCGCGCCAAAGCAGGGCGAGCCAGTGATTTGGGCTGATGTCCCCTACTCACGCGCTCAAAGTCGGCGCGCCGCTTTTGTTTGCTTAAGTGTAGTTTTTTTTTTTGTTTTTGTTTTTTGTTTTTTTTTGTTTTGTTTTGTTTTGTACACCCGGCGCCATTGGGTTAAGAGCACACACATGAATATGTGTTGGTAAAAAGTGAATCAAGACAAGCATATACACAGTGTATTAACCCATAGCCGCTGAGGATAGCATGTACATACATCTCATGCCTATCGAGTTTAATTTTTTTATTTTCATTTTCTTTCTCCACACAAAAGGCTCCACAAATACCTAGTCACCATTGAGCCAATTAAGAGTACTACCTGTCTTACATGTTTAGCCTTTTCTTTGATTTCCAAAAAATATTTTCTGGTATCTAATATTGCCATCAGTAATGTCAATAATAATAAAAATAACAGCATCGATATTGATACCATTAGTAAAAAAATCCTGCAAACTCAAGGAAAGAAAATCAGGTCGTCTGTAAATTGTGGCTTAATACTTATAGACCTATCTTTATACAGATATTTCAAAATACAATACTACAGTGTATGCATCATTTTCCTTGAGACTGGGTTAATGTTAAGACAAAGGATTTTCTGTGTCTTCTCAAAACAATTTTGTTGTTTAGCTAGTAAATTTTGGGATGGATACTGTCAAAACTATAATCTTCATTTCAAATTGTTGATCAACTCATTATGTGATAAAGGTTATTTGTTAGCAAATTATAGAAGGGTTTCACAGCTCTGGCCATTACCTTTATATTATTTTCATCAACAATGCAAAAATGTTGGTTATTCAATCTAGATCTAGTTTTATCAAAAAGGGCTTACTAACCTTTCATTGGCAGTCTTCCAATTCTTACACTGAATTCTTTTTGCCTGTAAAAAAAAAAAGAAGCCAACATTAAAAGATGTTTTCCAACAAAAGGCAAAAGTTAGATAATTTGAATTTTCAGATGCACATTACAATCAATAGGAACAACAGCCAATGGAAGTGTCCGCTCTCACTGCACAGAACGCACAGGAGAGAATCCACAACCAAGACTTGTTGCCTGTCAGATGACGCGCATGTGCAAATGGCATCATAGTAGTTTCGTTTCAAAAGTAAACAAGACCTGGAAACTCTGGACTTCCACATACTTGTCCATTACATAATTTCAAACAAATATTTTTATTTTCATTTCCAACTTGCTCTGACTAAGATATATAATGAAAAGTATCTTGTCATTTAGCTTCATGTATTGATCAGCTGGCATTTCCTGTCAACATTGGGATCATCACATTCAATATATAAATTTGTACAATAGGATAAATCTTACCATTTTACAATAATGCTGGTTTCTCCAACTGGTTCTTCATTCTTCTAAAGCTTATTTACTTAGGGATCTGAAAAGAGAAATACAACATTTTTCTTTTTTCTTTGTTATGGAGAGAGACGATTTTTCATATACACAGTCAGTGGCAATCTAGCTTCATATATCGGTCAGCCGGCATTTCCTATCAAATTTGGTTCATCACAATATTAAAATGTAGCAAAATAATATCTATACACAGTTCTCAAAAAAGTGATGGCCAGTTCTACTTTCATAAAGCAAATACATTCATGGTAATCCTCATCAAAATATCAATTGTTTTTTGACTTGTAGTTTTGACAAAATACCCTTGAAGTGTAGCCAGTCAATGACCCAAATCAAGTCCCACAAAAATGCAGATGGAATTGATAAGAGCTAGTGACAGGCTAGTGCTGCTATTCCGTCTGATGCAGGATTGACCAATTTCCTAAGATGTGCCCAGAAACTCAGATAACAGTGATTCACAATTGAGACTGATGGAGTATTTGTGTAATGTTACTAAGGATTTTAAAACTCAAATTCTGTTGAATAGGTGTGATACCAAAGATCAAAAAAAGTTTCATCTCTGGCCATTACCTTCAGAGAACTTCCTTCAAAACATTTTTTAAGAATGTTGGTTCTAGTTCTAGTTTTTACTAACCTTTCATCATTGGTCACGTTCTCCCAATTCTTGCATAGAATTTGTTCAGCCTGTAATGAAATTTAACACATTAAAAGAAGTTTCCCACAAATTTAGGAGCGAGAGAATGAGAATTTTCAGATGCACATTACAATCAATAGGAACAACAGCCAATGGAAGTGTCCGCTCTCACTGCACAGAACGCACAGGAGAGAATCCACAACCAAGACTTGTTGCCTGTCAGATGACGCGCATGTGCAAATGGCATCATAGAAGTTTGGTTTCAATGGTATACATGAAAATTTTGGCACTTGAATGTATTTCATAAATGAACAGAGTTTGTTTTTACCTTAACTGATGTGATGTTCATAAGGTTCACTGATGAAAAAATGCACCACCTGAAAAAACAACAATTATTTTATTTTCTGACTCCCTCATCTCAATAAAGAATATAACCAGAAGTTTTCAGTAGGCAATTAGCTTCAAGTGTCGATCAGCCGGCATTTCCTATCAGTTAAGGATCATCACATTTAAAATATATATAGTCTTGTACAATCAATATATAAACTTTACCATTTAATACAAGGTTGGATCTCTGCTGTAGGATCTTTATACTTGTAATGCTTAGTCATTCAGGGATCTGAAAAATAGAATGTATACATTTTATATTTTCCTCTTTATTTGAGGGATAGGATTTTTGGAATATAAACAATCAGTTGCATTCTAGCTTCATATATCGGTCAGCCGGCATTTCCTATCAAATTTGGTTCATCATAAAAGTAATACGTAATCTTTATACTATATTTCTCAAAGCAATTTTAAAGGTGTTGCCTAATTCTATCTGCACTTAGCTTAAACCTATTACTGATAATGCTCATTAACAAATGAATTTAATCTGGAGATGTAATTTTCACAGAAGTTAACCTTGAAATGCAGCCAGCTTCTAAACCAAATGTCAGTAACAGCATAATGCAAATAGCTTTGGAGAAAAAAAAAGATTCTCAGCTCTAGCCAACACCTTTATATTACATTTATACAAAAAATAGGTATCTTGTAATCTACTAACCTTAACCCCTTCATGATGGGTGATGCCTATAGGCGTGAAAACAAACTGCTCGAAATGTGGCGTGTGGCTATTCACTCGTCACCATTGGGTTAAAGTGGCCCTCTCTTCTAATCCATTCAATCTGTAAAGAAATTTAATGCACATTAAAAGAAGTCTTCCAATATAGGCAAGAGCAAGAGAATGAGAATTATCAGATGCACACTGCAATCATTAGGTACAGCAGCCATTGGAAGTGTTCACTTTCACAGCACAGAACGCACTGGAAAGAGGCACCAACCAAGACCAGTTGCCTGTCAGATGACGCGCATGTGCAAATGGCATCATAAAGGTTTGGTTTCAAAAGTATGAGTTGGCCAGTTATTTTCCCCTCCTTTAATGGAAATGATTTCATATTTCCTTAAAACTTGAGGCATTCTTGCTTCACAATCAGGCAGCCACCAACTTAGGTTTATCAGTTTTACAGTATACCTACACACAACTGTACTTATCTGGACTCCCTCTATTTTAAATAACCCACTCAACTGTTGATGTCCGATCATATCCTAGCCATAACCATCACATGTGCACTCGCACTTACTCAAAGTTCTCTCTCTTGCATTTCATTTTCCCCCCCCTCTAGTAGCTGACTAGATCTATGTTCAGTTTCCTTCAAATTTATGTGGTAAACTCCTTCAATATGGAAATGAAATATACAATTAAGTTTTTTTTTTTCTAAGCTAAGACCAAAATTGGGTAAATGAAAGCAGAAAAGCATACCTTTCTTCAGCTAGTGGGATACACAAGTTGAATTTTGGTTCTTAGGGATTAAAAACACTTCTGAAAATAAAAAAGGGGGTAAAACTATATATTATACACAATATCTTTACAAAATTTTGTTCCATATAAAAGAAAAAATACTTACAGGGGTACAGCACAGTAGAATCTAAGTATTCGGAATTTGTGGTTAATAAAAGACAAACACTTTTTCTCTCTTTATTCAGTCAAAAATCTACTTTGCAGCCTTGACTGTCTTTGCAGGCTTGCCGTCCTTGTTTCTGGCTGCCCTGGGGCCTCTGGTCTTCCTTGGCTTCCAGGTCTTGGGCTTCTTCTCCTTGAGTTCCTTCTTCTTGGCCAATTTCTGTCCCCTGATTTTCCTGGCTGCCTTTACTGTTGGTCGCTTGGCAACCAGGATGTTCTTCTTCAAACGCAGATAGGCAGACTTGACAATCTTGTTCCTTGCTTGCTTTGCACGGCCAAGCTTGAACCTATCGAAGTCTGTCATACTGGCACGCTGCAAGGGGTTAACAGTGTCATACACACGAAAGTATTTACATTATACGGTTTCAAACAGATACAAATGCATCATCATGACCTTTAACAATTACATTAGAGTAAAGGAAATCCAGAAGTGTTTATAACTTTATGAACAAAACACATGCATTCTAAAATAGAGGTTTCCATGGATACTCACGAGCAATCCCTTCTTGATGTTCTTGTTCCAGGTAGAGGCTTCAAATTTCTCACTGATCTTGGCTGCTTCCCAGGCTGACCTGATCAACTTGGTCCTCATACCACGGCAAATTTTCAACTGGAAAGAATCACTTACTGAATATCTGAATCATCAGACCTACATAAACCAGATATAAGAAACAAGATTCTTTTTTATCTATTTATTTTTTACATTATATAGGTTACACTGACTTTCCACTTACCACATAGGTTGTCAGCCTCATCTCACAGAACTTGAACTGCTGCCGTGGGACTCCATGGCAAGGTCCATCAATGAGGGCCTTTTCGAGAAGAGGGAAATTAATTAGTTACACAGACCTTGTCACTTACTAAATCATATATACAGTCACAATATAACATCTCTATATGTCTCTCATATTACTCATGCATCTAGTGGGTAGTTTTTGCATACATCACTCGTCTGTCATTTGGGTTTTGTTACAATGGTACTCATTCTATGAAAGATGAAATAACTGGTTATAGTTTATTTCTATTTTCCAAATTTGTCATAACACCATCTCAGGTGTATTACAAGGTGACCTGGATATAAATATATCACTACTACGAATGGGAGTTCAATTCCTCAAGTTACATTCACTGCATTTTAAGGGATTTGTCTATTTTGCCACATTTATATTTTCTTGAGCTCAAGTTACAGATATGTTAATTCTTGAAAGTCCCATTTCCATAAATGGAGTTTTATTATAATGTAAAATTATAAAAATATAGTCTATGAAACTCTATAATGTAGCTGTACAGCTAACAGACTACTAAAATGAAGTTGCTCCACTGCTCTATTTCTAAATTCACAGACCCAAAAGGGGTACTATGACTTGATGCAGCTGTATTGTGGTGGGATAGGCAATTTGACTTTGTTTTCGTTTTTGTTTGTTTTTTAAATCCTTAAGAACCAAGAAAACACACACACAAACACACGCACACTTTCTTTTGAGTAAATGGGAAGGGGGACAATTCCATTAAAATTTTGAGCAAAATATGGAAAACTACTTACCCTGTTGGTGTCAATAATGTCGACAATGACGGCAAGCTTGCCCTTGTACTGCCCTTCATTGATGTAAATGACGCGCCCAATCTGGGCAAACTTTTTGAACGGCTGAAAAGAACAAAATTATTGTATTAAATTCTATGTTGGGTACAATATTTGACCAAACATTTAAGATTACTAACATGTGCCTTACTGAGTCAAGATTTCATGAGGCTCACCACTCATGGAACCTTCTCTCTTCTCCATACAACCCTAAGATTTAAAGTTCCCCTATGTCCAGATAAGGGTTGAGCATTTAAAGATCATGACATAAAAGTATCTATGACTGCTGTAGAGGTGGTTAAAACTAGAGGACTGAACCCACCTGATACCAAGTGCCTAACTTGGCAAAATGAGGTGAATAAATCCCATCTTTGACTCGCACACCAATACAAAGATGGCCATGTGAACCAAAATCTTTCCTAGCCCCTTTAACCTGTTCCTGTATTCTTACTGGTACTCAAAAGGGATATATGCCCCATAAGAAAAGGTAATTTTTAGATTCACACTGCCATCCCACTGTTTTCTAATCACAAGTGATAGAAGTGACAGTATAGGCTATTGTATACAAGGTAACTGCACCTTTAAGCATTAAAAATAGAATGCCACTTAGACAAACAATTCACATCACTATAAACATACTGCTCCCAACACCCCCATGGCAAACCTTGTCTTCACCTAGGTATGCATGGCGAATCAGAGCTGAACCCTGAAACAACGAATGGAACCAAGACAAGAGTGATATTTCCCTCAATTTTTCTCCCAAACTTATGGTATTCTTAATTGTGTCTACTGGTTATTTCCTGCACCAATAACACAAACTTTATATCCTCTAAAAGAAAATCTTCAACCTGCCCTATCTTAACGTGTACATACTGTAATGATAAACCAATTCCTATCACTCCAGCCAAAACCTTGGAAGCATTACTGGGAATCCACAAACACGGCCATGTTAATCAAAACATTCCTAACCTGGGTGCTTTGCAATTTTGTGCAAATACCATAAATACCACATCAAACATGCAAAATACTCCTTTTTAATTACCAATTATAAATGTTAAACATATACAGTGTCCTGCATAATAGGAATGAGATGTTGCACATTGATTTGACATTTACCTTAAAGGCTAATCCTACCCTTACTACCTAGTAACACCACATTGCTCCTATTTTCTTACTGTACGTATTAGCAGATGTCCCAGACCCGTGACGGAATGTTATCAGAGCACACTGCAGGTTTCCCATCATCAAAGAACAAGCAGCAACATTAAGCATGCAATAGAATTGAAGTAGAATTTCATTGTCAGTATTCCTCTAATTATTCACCAATATAACTAATTACTTACTTCACGCTAAACATTTCACAATCATTCAGCCAAGTACAATAACAAAGAAATTAATATTGACATCTCTAACAGTACGATTTTACTTCAAATAGTCTCTCCCCAACATAACAGAGCAACATTTAACAAAACTAATGGAGGTACAAATTCTGAAAACACCTAATACGAATAAGGACTCCTTTAGGGTAATGCTCTATGGACCCAATATCCTTAAAGTCCTGCCCTGTCATATATCGTGCCCCGATTTGCTATTTAAGAACCGTATTTTGGCGATAGGACTTAAATATGAATATTCCGAAACCACATCACGGCCTGAATTCATTGAGAAGACGGAGTATTTTAGTAAGGAAACCTTCACGTATACATTGAAGTAAGCATAACATTGATAAACATTGAACTTGCACATTGAGTCTAGTGTTTTCCTCTCCTGGTTTATTTCATCCCCATTATCTCTATACATGACGGGATTTACCCTCTAAATCTCCACTAAAGATGCAACCAGGTACATCCAGTACTGATATTTCATCTCAAAAGTATCAGGAAAAGACAGATGACATCAAAATTAACCGATAAATGGTAAACACTTTTTCTTACCATGGTCGCGCTCTTCCGCCGACTTCGTGAAGACCTCTGCACGTCGCCGGACAGTGGAAGTCGAATGTAAACACAAATTTTGGCGAATATATAGATACGTCAATATTTGAATAAAAAATATATTGTTTCATAATTAGATTAATTAGAAATAAATAATGGTATATAAATTATGTATTTTGATGTAGATTACGGTTGTTATTTATTTTCCGTATTTGATGCCTTTTGCGTCGGCGGCCATAACGTTCTTTTCCGTCTTTGGCTAAACGCGACCAACCATGGGCAAGGAGGTGCTGCTCACTTTATCTTCTTGTATTATTTCCATCGAAGTGAAAATATATGATATATTGTGATATTTAGATTCGTGATGAACTTGGTATGATGGCTGAGATAATTTAAGATCTCCTATGTGAAAATTTTGGGAGATATAGTTGTTAGAGAATAGACGATGGCGAATGTAAACAATAAGTGCGGTGTTCAATGTGATCGCTATGAGTTTTCTGGAAAACTTTACTTATCTCTCTCTCTTTGCAGTCGGAACCCAAGGCGACAGTTCGCACCAGGAAGTTCATGACCAATCGGCTCTTGAACAGAAAACAAATGGTGAGTAGACCACTTAGGACATGTTATTAATATATTGCTGAGAAATTCCACCTGGGGTCGGGAATGCATTATTGCATGTAGAATACTTTTGGATTATATCTTTGGTTAATCTTATGTTACGGACGCACTAATTTAGGGCATATTGGAGATATTTTTTTTATAGAGGGGGGCGCAAGGGGGAATAGCCCCCTGATTTAGATTATATAGTGATATTGTGTTATTTATATTTAAATTGCATATTCCCCGGTTTCATTCCCTACCCTGCAACTGGAGCCAAGAACGTGGGGGGGTTGTGGGGGTTCTATGGCTAAATTTCGAAATAGTTGGATAGTTGAGCAAGGAATCATTCAACCCTTAAATTATTGGTCAGTTGAGCAGTGCAGTTCTGCTTTTTCTTACTACAGACTGTGTTCACTGGGTGCTCCTGAATTTCATCTCCATCATGCTGTGCATGCTAAAGTGAAGACCACTTGCATATTTTATTATATTTATGACATAGAGTTGAAGAGATGGGCGAGTGCATCCATACTGTTAAGCAGTACCATATTATTTTTGGACCAACCAAGCACACTTAAATTTGAAGTTCCTTTAAAAATTGTTGATATGTTCAATCTTTTTAATTTTTGGTGAAGATGAATCAATAGTATTTTCCTTTTTAGTAGTATTCTAATACGGACACTCTTCTACGTGCATGCTCATACATATCCATGTTCTATTATATCAGTCTTTCAATTATCTGTAAGTACAATAGCAGTAGTGATATCAATAGTATTAGAAAGAGAAACGCATTTTCCTGCAATTTGTCAATTGTTTACACCGTTGCCTGTTATCATATAGGCTGTGTTAACAAAATATAATAATGTTTGTCATGACATTTTTTGTACTTAAATTTATATTTATTTTTCAGGTTGTTGATGTCCTGCATCCAGGCCGATCAACTGTCCCCAGGAATGAGATCCGAACCAAACTTGCAAAGGTAATAGCTTGTAGTTTTATTAATATATAACAAAGATAATAGAATAATATAATAGCAAGTAACTATAGATAATTGGTAATACCTCATCATGCTATGGGTCTGTCCCAACTGCTGGGATAAGATCTTGTTTAACTTCTATGAACTGGATAATCACCCAGACACAGCAGCACATCCAAATGAATGCCTGGACTGGCCCAACTTTCTTGACGATTTTTCATGTTATTATTAAATTAAGAGGGCAGTTTTCCCTCAGCATAATGAAGATTCATAGATTTCAGGAATCCATTTAAAAAAAAATAATGAATATTATCAGTGTAAATCTGTAATTGTGCTTTTTGCTGAGTAAATGTGGCAAACATAACTCCAAAGATTTTGAAGAGAAACCTCTCTCCTAATAATGCCACTTTTTAAGAATCGAAATCTGTGCCTTAAACTTCTATCTTCCTTTAAAAGATCCCAAATATCAAATGTAACCATTACTGATTAGAATAAAGGGGGGGGGGATGTAATGTATTTCACTTTTTGGGCAAAACTATTCAAGCTATAAAGTAAAGCCACAGCATAGATAGAATATAAGTGCAATTGATTTTTCTTCAAATTATGATGTGCATTTACTGATATTTTTATTCAGAATTGAAGGGGTGTGAGTGTGTGTTCCCCCACCCCCATTCACATAAATAGTTACATGAGGTATTCCTGTGGATTTGCTCCCGTTTTATTCATTTTCATATTATTACAGATGTACAAGACTACCAGCGATGTTGTCTTTCCCTTTGGCTTCAAGACTGCCTTTGGTGGTGGTAAGAGCACAGGTTTTGCTCTTATTTATGACACACTAGACTATGCCAAGAAACTGGAGCCTAAGTACCGTCTTGAAAGGGTAAGTAGGCAAGACTGCATATTACCTTGATTTAGATTGCTCATTTGAATTGTTGAAATAGATGGCTTGATGAAGAGTAGTATGCGCAATTAACATTTATTTTTTAAAACTTTGCAGCAAGCACTCATTGAGGTCAAGAAAACCGCTCGGAAGCAGAGGAAAGAGCGCAAGAACAGGATGAAGAAGGCTCGTGGTACAGCTAAGGCGAAATTGGCCTCTGCCACCAAGAAGGTAAGAAAAAATGGCGTGAAATTTGAATGGTCTTCAGCTATTGAAAAAAATAATCAATATATTTTTTTTTGTGTGTGTATATATGTGTATATTTATATACACATGTATACACACGCACACACACTCACACTCTCACACACTCACACATGTACATATGCATGCATGCATACATACACATATATGTACACATACATACACACACATACACAAGCATACATACACATACATGTATACGTATTTATAATTTAAATTCTGATTCTTATGCTAAGTTTTTTTTTTCTCCATTTACAGAAGGTAAAGTAAACATCATTAACTGCAGACCCTAGTTGGCTGGGTGGAATAACCCAGTGGATGAAAATTTACCTGGGTTTTATAAGGTTGATTTTACTTTTGTTGTATGAGGTAGCAAAAGGGTAAGTCTTCTGGCAAAGGCCAGGGGAAACCTCTTCATGAGCAGGTTTAATTTATAATTTTCAAATCAGGACAGGCTTTAACTATAAGTGATTTGATTGATTGATATGCAAACCAAGATAATGGAAAAGAATATTTAGTTTTTTTATTTTTAGTTTTTTTATGAAGGAGTTGGTTAGAATACAAATAAGTGATTTTAAGTAATGGCAGGTATTCACTCTTTTATCTGCATTTCTTTTCAGAAGTAAACAAGGTACATACAGGAAAGACGGTTTGCATTTTGTGACTTAAAATCCTTTCTTGTAGAGTAAAGCTTATCCTTTTGAAGGCACATTGAAGAGAGAAGCTTAACTCGTATGATGATGGGCTTTTAGTCACAAAATGTTTGCAAGTACATGTTGGTTGCATTGATTTTCCACAGTAACTCGTGTGATTAATTAACTTGTTATAGAAGAGTGGGAGGGGGGGGGGTAATTGATAAGAATTTGAAAACTAACCAACCACAACTAATTTGGAAATGGTTTGCCTTGATAATCTACAGTCAAGAGATAGGAAATTTACATGCCCTTGACCAAATAACAAGAGTTTTATATGCATGACAGGTGCATCTTTTTAGAAAAAGTATTTGCAGCTGTTGGATGATTGATCAAGGGATATCCCTTTCTGGTGTGTTTTTTATGCATTGACTTTTAGGTA